TCGAAGAGCGTGAAAAGGGATGGCGGTAATGGGAAAAAGGGATGGAAAACGCTTTGACCGAGTTGCTCCTGTTCTCTTCTCTTCAGTCCAATGTTTCCGAACGCACTCGAAGAAAACTGCCTTCTATTATTGCTCGCCTTGTGCCACCTGGGTCCTTCTCCTTCGACCAGTCTTCGTCTTTTCTACTCTTCTACTCTCTTCTCTTTTCTTCTTCTCTTTCTCCTTCTCTTTCTTCAGTCTGTCGCTAACACAAAGGACCAACGCAAATCCCGTTAGATCGGATCGATATCCCGTAGAAACAGTGAGCCACCATCGACCAATTTCGCTGAGACATTTTGCGATTTTTCACTTGGCACGTCGACCTTCGTAATCCTATCCTCGATCTAACGACGAGCCCGTTCCATAGAGCTTCGTATGGAGCGTTTGTATAGACGAGAAAAATGTCGACGTCAAACTGGACCTCCTTCTAAGGAGGAATGTATAAAAGGGACTCGAAGGAACAACCCTCGTTACTAGACGAGTATAGCTTTATTTTCGAACATGAAATATATCGTTATGTTTTGTAGAATTTCCTTTCGCACTATCAAAAGATGTAAAAGATTACAAATATTATATCACGTATCATTCACATATATTATTCATTTTTTTTAATATAAATCGAATTTCTTCTCTTCAACATTTTTCATATTTCCGAATATACGGAAGATAGAGATAAATTAAGACTGTCCATTAATTTACACCGAATAATAATATGATTAATTGTTATTATCATTAATTTTCTATACGAACGATTTATTTTACAAGAGTGATCTTCATCTAGAAATAATTCAATTAATCATAAGCAATGAGAGAACGTAATGAAATTATTCATTCGTAATAAATAAATATAATATATTTCGTACATACATACGTACATAAATATATATATATATATATATATATATATATATATATATATATATATATATGCGGGTGTGTATGTATATACGAAAGAGATAACAAATGGAGATATTTCCTAATACTGATTATACACTTCGACGTCCACGATAAAATTTCATATCTCGGCACAAGAATATATACGATCGACGTTGGAAGGTTAATGAAATACCTTGCTAGAAATGCTGCTTCTACTGATGCATAGTTTACCGAATATCGATCTATGCGTTATGATTAGAAATTTCGATGAAAAATAGAGTCGTGAAACTTTAGTGCTGCTGCTGTTCAAACGTTTACCTTCAAAGAAGAGAGACCGATCGGTTCGTCGTTTGATCATAGCGAAAGGATATGAAAGCAACCTCCTGAATTCTTGAATATCACGGAAATTAGCGGCGTGCTACATCACTTTGGGAAAGGTATATGTATGTACTAGATAGATAGAAGACGTCGAATTCATCGTACATCATTTCAAAAAGTCAATCGATCTTAAGAAAAAGCATCTCAAGATGGTTTTTATATTTTTCCAACAATACAGTAATCGATCTTAATAATTCAATTTTTAAAATACATTTATTAGTTAATATTTATTTATTTACTTTTCTCACGTTTCTACTATTATTCGTTGGGCAACAATTTTTTTCTTTTTTTTTTTTTTTTTTTTTTTGTATAAATACAGTGTTTGTATAGGAATTAGGATGTAAATGAATGAAAGGCATATTCATAAGAGACATCGAACTTATTCCACGTATATATATATGTGTGTGTGTGTGTGTATATTATATGTATATATATTTTATTTCTTTTTTGTTCGTAACATCCGGCTCGCCGAGCCAATTCGTCGAATTTCTCTAGGTCAGTACATTTGATGAAAAGCTAGAACGTCGGGACAGTTTTTTACACCTACCTTGAAACTGACAGGTGTTTTCTAGAAAATTATATGGGTCAGTGGTTCGTTTTGTTGACGACCTATATCTACTGGGTGTGCATTTGGAAAGGAAAACTTTTTCACTTTCGCAACGACGAACAAGTAGGTATGTACACACAGTGAAAGAAGAGAAAGAGCACAGACACCGTTAAAAGAAAGTACAATGTACGAGAATATAAAACGAAGTGTTCCTTTTTCTTTCTCTTCCTTTCTTTTTTCTTCCTTTTTCTTTTTTGTCTTGTTTTAGTTTAACAACAGCGTGAAATCTCGGCGTAGCATCGCATAGTAAAATGCGTACACAAAGTAAAAAGTAAAAGAGCTAGCAGGATTGGTTGAAAAAGAAAAATAAAGAACTAGGATGAGTAAAAGTCCGAAAGTTGTCGTGACTCCATGCTAGTTAATAGTTAAGTACTGAATTTTAACGTAGGGGTAAAACCATTCTAAGAGATATCCACAACGGGGTGCCATATGGTTGAACAAGGCAAAACAGTTCTTAAAATGGCGCTCGTAAATTCTCGTAAACGCGCTAGCAAATTTATATTCTGCGACAGTAAAGTATGGCAGCAGTGGTGGTATCATCCCCCGAGTGGTGCGCAGTTATCCTTGTACGTGGTGGAAACTACATAATCTTTGGTATCGAGCCACGTGTGCTCGCTTAAACCAAACGAAAAATCTCGAAGAATCCTCGACTCAAAAAGAAAAAAGATCTTCGTACCGCTAAACCAATTAAAATAATCATTAGGAAAAGTTAAAGATTATGCGAGATAGGAAAAAGAAATTTCTTTCATCGGCTATCTCTCTCTCTCTCTCTCTCTCTCTCCCCCACTGTATCTATCTATCTCTATCTACCTATCTCTTTTTCTTTTTTCACTTTTCTTTTTCTTTTTCTTTCATTTTCTTCTTCCTTCTTCAACTTTCATTCGTGGAATTAAAGAGGCATCGTTTCTATTGAACCCATAGAGCGAAGAAACATGAATTATTAATGAAAGTTGGAAACATCGAGGACCGTGGATGCAAAAAGGGGTGCCTGTTTAAATAGTACGGAATTAATTTAAATAGTACCCTACCCTCCCTTTCGTCACCCTTCCCAGTACCATCTCACCTCACATCTCGTGTAACTCTCGTGCTTCTTTGTGGAAATTAATGCAAAGGGTTGCAATTGAATTTAATCGCCCTTTATTGATTCCACCGAGGCCTCGATTTAAGTCCATGGGGTGAAAGATAACGAAGGCAAATATCGGAGGGTAGTATTCTTCGGACGGTATGGGGTAGAGGCGTGGGGAGGGGGGGAAGGGGCTTGCGTAGAAAATTGAAAAGCTTTATAAGGGGGTGGGAGGGGTGTGGATAAGGGAATTGAAAAAGAAAAAGGAAGGAAAAAAGAAAATCTATTTGAAAATATTGTATCTTTCCTTTTAAATTGGTTATAAAGGATAAACGTTAAAGAGCGATTAAAAATTTTCTTTATTAACAAAATAGCAAACATGATGTATACGTTAACGAGTACATAAGTAATAAATGATTGTAAATTAACATTACTATTATTATTATTATTATTATTATTATTATTATTAGCATGTAATAATTAATGATATCATTTGTCAGATTAATATTCGTTTACATTTTAACGGGAGACTAATAAACATTAAATGTCTAAACAAGCGGCAAAAGTGCAAACAAAGTTTACCAACAGAGCCGAACGTCGAGAGCTAATACTCTGTTGGCTAGCACGCGTTACGAGTCTAAATGTGGCTTTGCAAACATGATGACGTTGTTCCGTGAACGAGAGAGGAAAGAGGAAGAGGAGGAGTTGCTGGTGAACAGTGTGAGTACAGGGAATCGGTTAACAACGAGAGAACGTAGTTACGAGCACTGGCAAAAGTGCACATGCGCATGAGAAGAAAAAAAGAGAGAAAAAAAAGATATATATATATATATATATATATATATATACGTATATATATATATATATATATATATATATATATATATATATATATATATAAAGAGAAAAGAGGAAGAGAGAAAGATGAAGGGAAGTCGAAAAAAGATGACGACTCTTTCCTAAGGGGCTTAGAGGTCCCTGCTCTCATTTATGATCTTATGCAACGTGCGCGCAATGTTATATCTCTCTGGTAGCATGGCGGTGCATATTAAACGTTCACGGACTCTTATCCGATGTGGCCTGCCAAGGCGAGCGTGATCGGTGTATCTCCTAGAAACTTTTTCGACGTGTACTTCCTCCTCCTCCTCCTCTTTCTCCTCCTCCTCCTCTTTCTCCTCCTCCTCCTCTTTCTCCTCCTTCTCTTCTTCCTACTCTTCTTCCTCCTTCTCCTCCTACTTTCCCTTCCTTCCTTCCTTCCTTCCTTCCTTCCTTCCTTCCTTTCTTTTTTACCTTCCTCTTTTTTTTCTCTTCATTTTCTTCTTTAACTCTTTCATCTTATTCTTTTTCTTTCTTTCCCCCTTTCCTTTTCCTTTTCGTTTGCTTCTTCTTTTTCATTTTCATTTTTCTTCTTTTCTTTTTCTTATATATATATATATATATATATATATATAAATATATATAAATAGGGCATATTCCAGGTGTGGATTTTGCTTTACTCTTAAATTCGTTAATATTCCTTCGAAGGAAAAAATCTCTTTCTCTCTCTCTCTCTCTCTCTCTCTCTCTCTCTCTCTCTCTCTCTCTCTCTCTCTCTCTCTCTCTCTCTAGAGAAGCTTGAAGACTGACTTGAAGATCCTTTTTACAATTTTCTTTAAATATATATGTATATTCTAATTTATTTTCATTAAGTGATCGTAAGAGCTCATTCTTTTCATCAGAACTCCATTTTGGACTCCACATTTTCTATATTGTATATCCTTGAATTTTTAAATATATATATATATATATATATATATATACACATATATATATACATATGTACATGTATGTACATTATATATATATATATATATACATGTATATATGTACATGTATGTACTTATGTGTGCGCGCTCGTGCTTGTATATTCTCAGATATGTGCGCGCGTGTGTGTGTGTTTGTATGTGTGTATAGTTGAAAAATATTTTTCTCTCTACCTTTCAGAAGGAAATACATACAAGGATTTCTCGACTGAATTTCTCGAATTTCTGCTTTCAGACGTGCCAGATCCGCCAGAACGTCCTCTCATAACAAGCTTTACATCCAAATCCGTGAATCTGTCTTGGGCACCTGGCGCTAATTCTCATAACAACCCAATTTTGCACTACGTCATATACACAAGGTAAGTCCGTCAAATATTTACCTTTCCTAGAAATGTTCACTTCGCATTTGTTAACGTTAAAAGCAACGACGAGAGACGTATCGATGGGATTATGAAAATTGTTTTTGTTGCTCTAGCAAAATCAAATTCATACAAGAAAATAATGTGACATATGTACATACAATTAATTTCAAATCTTTCATATTTCTTTATCATTTTTCAATAGAGTCAAAAAAAAAAAAATAATGTCATTAATTATAAATACACCGCTAGATCTATAATTTTCCATTATTTTCCGTGCAATAATGTATAGAAATAATTTCCATTAAAATTGCAACGTCACTCGTAAAGATTCCATATTATTTTTAGATACGAATGTATTTAAATCTGGATAGAATCACTTTTGAACTTTCTTTGAACGCGTTTATAAACGTACCGCACTAATAAAAACAGAAATAATTTTTCTTAATATAAAGAATAGTTAAGACAAGAACTATTTCAATTTCTTTTAATTCTAAATATAGTAAGAGAAAAAAAGAGAGAGAGAGAGAGAGAGAGAGAGAGAAAAAGAAAGAGGGAGAGAGAAAGGGAGAAAGGGTAAAGAGTATGGCCAAAAATAGCTATCCTATGGCCAAGTACATTCCGCTCTGATTATCTTTCAGATACACGCTACGAGTTCGAAGCTTTAGCGAAGAGCGGAGAAAGGAAAACGGATAAAATAAAAGGAGTTACTAGGGATAAGAAGTGCGGTGTCGATAAGCACCCTTTGTTCTCCCAGACTTCTCTTCCAGGCTTCGTTATCTCCTTTCCTGTCTTTTCCTCTTTTTCTCTCTTTCTATCTTTCTATCTCTTTTCCTTCCCCTAAACTACGCCCTACTTTTCTTTTATTTTTCCATCTTATTTCTCTTTCCCTTCTCTCTCTCTCTCTATCTGTATATATATGTCTCTCCTTCTCTCCCTTTCTCTCTTTCTCTCTCTTTCTCTCTCTCTCTCTCTCTCTCTCTCTCTCTTGTCTAGCCCTTTTACGACCACCGATTTTCCACGGAGAAATTCGCTATCGACACTTGCGAGTAGCACGTATATCGCGTATATCGAATGACCAGTCACCGGCTGTTCCATGGGACACAGAAAAAAGTGCAAAAAAATGAGAAAGAGAAAGAGAGATAGAGAGAGAGAGAGAGAAAGAGTAAGAGAAGTAAATACATATTTCACGTTATTAACTCATACGATTTTGTTCACGTCGCCTATATGTATCTGAGCAACTAGCTGCGTATGTATTTTCAAAATTCGAAACTAACCATTAGTCCTGGCGAATTTCAAAGCCCAACAAATTTCTGTCCGCCATGATGGATCTCTTACTGCAAATTACTTTACACATTCGAGACTAGTACGAATCTCGAGAGAAATTTTGTAGGTTCCCTTCGCTAAGGGAATTTTTGGTGTCGCCTTTCGAAACACGCGACCAGCGACAACGACACGATATTTCTCTTTTACGGTGCGCTCGTTCTGTTCCTGTTCTTTTTTTTTTTTTTCTTTCTTTTTTTTTGCCGAGCTTACGCTTTTGTTTCCTTCTCTTTATTTCTCGCTCTCTCTCTCTCTCTTTCTCTCTCTCTCTCTCTCTCTCTCTCTCTCTCTCTGTTGCACATACACACATTTTCTGTCATGCTGCTTGTTCACTCGTGTGACCTCGTAAGCGTCTAATCGTAAATCATCCTCTTTTCGCCAACCACGAAGGTCAACGAACTGTAATCCTGAACCAATTCGACATTCGTTACTATCGAAAGCGTCTTCGCAAACTATTGCTATTCGATGTTTTTAAAGATAGAGAAAGAAAGAGAGCGAAAAAGTTAAAATAAGAAAGTTAATGTATTTATTTCTCTAAAGGAAAAATTATTTCCATCAGGAGCAACAAGTCAATCAGTCCTTTATGCATTTATGGATTTCACCGAGCGAACGAATAGATAGTGAATAGATAGATAGATAGGAAGAAAGAAAGAGAGAAAGGGAAAGAAAGAGAAAGAGAGAGAGAGAGAGAGAGAGAGAAAAAACGAATGCTCCATTATGAAGATTCGTCGCGGTACATTTGGCTGGTCCGTGTTATTAAGGTTGTCTCGTTTTCCCCGTGCAATGTAAAATCCAACGGCATTTTTTATTGTGCTTCGTATAGCTGGATGAGACCAGTGGATTAAAACGAGAGAAGATACGAAAGAGCTAGCGCGTTTGCCCTGCCAACGGGACGAACGGAGTGCCGAGTCTCTTTCAGTGCATGAAAGAGAAAGCGTGAGAGAGAAGGAGAAAGAGAGAGAGAGAGAGAGAGAGAGAGAGAGAAGGATGGTTGAAGATAAAAACAATAGCGGTGGCTTCGTTATAATAAGAGAACGATCCTTAAACATTTCTCGTTACCTCTCCAACGTGGTTGCCCGTTCCTTTTGATTTTCTCTTTTTCGCTTTCTACAATATATCTTATCTGAGAACACAATCGAAGTTGAAAACCTTTAAAACGTTCATTAACGATTATTAT